TTTTGTTGTTTGTGTCCCTGAGGGTGATAGTAAGCTCTGTTCCACTGTGCCCACTGGGTAAGACCCTAGTAGTGTTCACCTGCTCCCTTAAGAGCCCTGAGAATCTTCTCAACCATGCCTCTTCCTCTGCATTCAGTGTCTAAGCTTCTGTGTGGGACCAGCTCTCCAGTGTATGCTCTGTCCCCGCAGGGATCTGTGTACCAGAAGACCAATGCTGCATCTGAGATCAAGAGAGTTGGCAAAGATAGCTTTTGGGCCAAAGCTGAGGTAAGTGCATGTGCATGTGTGTGTGTGTGTGTGTGTGTGCACACGCGCATGCACACGTGCACCAGTGAACATCTTGTATAGGTCTTTGGCTGCCCATTATGTATGATTAAAGTGAAGGCCTAAGTGGGTTAAGTCACAGCAAAAGTGAGCAGTATCCTATTAGTATAGTCTTCCTGACCACATATGCCTGTATGACCTGATCCTGGGTAGGGGGTGAGGCCAAGGAGGGCTGAGTGGGCAGCTCCCCTTTCAGAAGGAGGAAGAGAACCGTCGGCTGGAGGAGAAGCGAAGGGCTGATGAAGAGCACCAGCGGCTGGAACAGGAACGCCGGGAGCGGGAGCTGCAGGAGGCTGCCCGCCGGGAACAGCGCTACCAGGAACAGCAAAGCAAGGCCAGCTACCAAAGGTGAGCCCATCCTGGGCTGAATCAAGATAGTAACCCTTGTGGTGGAGGCTGCTCTGGAAGATAGATCTTCAGGTGTCCCTGTGCCCTCAACTTAATCTCTCAGAGGGAAAAGGACTGAGGGCACAGTCTCAGGGACAGCCAGCAATCCTCAGCTCTTCCCCTCCTCCCCCCTTCCCAGGATGTATGAGCAGCAGCAAGAAGCAGGTTCAAGGGACAGAGAGGAGCAGGTGAGTCTTGGGTATCTCCTTCCATGGGGCCTGGGAACTTACTGGTTTGAACCCATCTCCCTCAAGTCAAAGCCTCAAGCCACAGATGGAGGGCTCAGCCCAGACATGTACAGTGAACCTAAGGTACATCTAGGCACATCAGAAGGACCAGTGAGGAGGAAAGCCGTGACAGAGCTTCTGGCCCAGTCCTGGGAGAGGCTGTGTCAGTTTCCCACCACCTAGCCACAGCTGGATTGCCTGCCTTTGGGGTGGGGCAGTGAAGTACGATGAGAAGCTGTTGGGTTCCTGCTCACTGCTGAGGTCAATGTATACTCCTCCAGGAGTCTGCTGGTCAGCGTGCCACACACCCAAGGGAGATTTTCAAGCAGAAGGAGAGGGCCATGTCTACCACCTCTATCTCCAGCCCTCAGCCAGGTAGAACTTCTCTTCGGCCCTGGCCACAAGGCTGGGTGGGCTGAGGGGAAGCCTAGAGTGCTGTGCAGGGCACAAGGGAAGAGGGGGTGGGAAGGGCAGCCCAGGGCCCAGTGTCCCATCCTGCCTTTTGCTGGCACAAGGACTTCCGTGGTGTTTCTGAAGTGGCATTGTGTTGGTTGGGGTTTACAGGCAAGCTGAGGAGCCCCTTCCTGCAGAAGCAGCTAACCCAACCAGAGACCTCCTTTGGCAGACAGTCAGCTGCCACTGTTTCAAGCCCCAGAGCAGGCAAGGCACTGGTTACTCCATAGGTCTCTGAAGGGGGTTGGTAGAGAGGGACCTGTTGTGGGAGGGAGAGGTCAAAACCTGCTATGTCTTCTGGTGCAGATGTTTGTGAGGAGCCAGTGCCTAGCACTCCATTTATGGTGCAGGCAGAAGAGGAAGCCACATACGAGGAGCCCCCGGAACAGGAGACCCTCTACGAGGAGTCCCCACTGGTGGGTTCCCTGTGGGGGATGGGGCTGTGAGGGAGTCACAGGTCTGGATTTTAATGGTGTACTGCAAGGGGGGGTTGTGGGGTTGGGGTTTTTTTGAGACAGAATATGTAGCCCAGCCCATACTCTCTTAGAACTTGCCTCAATTTTCAGCATTGGGATCAGAGGTATGGGCCATCATGTCTGGTTTGCGGGGTTTTTTGTTGTTGTCGTCATTGGTTTGTTTTTTGTTTTGTTTTTTGGGTTTTTTGTTTGTTTGTTTGTTTGTTTTTGGGTCCGGTCGTGGGTCCTGAACTCTGGGCCTGGGCACTGTCCCTCAGCTTTTCAGCTCAAGGCTAGCACTCTACCACTTGAGCTACAGCACCACTTCCGGCTTTTTTCTTTTTGCTTATGTGGTGCTGAGGAATCGAACTCAGGGCCTCATGCATGCAAAGCAAGCACTCTACCCACTGAGCCACTTTCCCAGCCCCTGGTTTTTTTTTTTATGTGTGAGTGGTTTTTGTTGTTTTGTTGGTTGAGGGGCTTGAACTCATGGCCTGGGTGCTGTTCCTAAGCTTTTGCTCAAGACTAGTGTTTGAGCCACAGTGCTACTTCCACTTTTCTGGTGGTTTATTGGAGATGAGTGTCATGGACTTGAACAAACTTGGTAAATGCTCTGCCACTTAGCCACAGTCCCACACTGTAGACTTTCAAGCATGTGGCAATTCTCCTTCAACTTTTTTCTTTTTGTGGTAGAAGAGATGGAGGGAGAAATCAAACTCATACTTTCTAAGCAGGTACTTTTACCACTTGAGCCATGCCTCCAGTCCCTTTTTGCTGTGATTATTTTCAAAGTAGAGTCTTAATTTATGTCGGGGCTGGTCTGGGCTGCATTCTACCTGTTTATGCTTCTCCACAATATTAGGAATGACAGGTATGCACCGCTATCCCCACCCATTGATTGAGATGGCATCTCACAAACTTTCGTGCCCAGGCTAGCCTCAAATCCTCCATGTCTGCCTCCCAAGTAGCTAGGATTACAGGCTTGAGCCACCATGCCTGGCTTTCAGTTGACACTTCAAGCAGCCTGTGCTGAATTGTATGTATCCTTAGTCCATGGCTGGAAGTATATGTGCTGCCTTTTCTTCTGCACCTCAAGGTCACAGTTATGTTGTCAGGGCAGAAGCAGCAGTTTCCTGTCCCTCCTCCTCCCCCCAGAGCTGCACATCACCCATATGTTGTGTCTTCTGCCCCCCACCCCAGCCTGAGCCACCTGTGTGTGAGGGCTGAGTGGAGGGCAATGATGTCTTCTTCCTCCCAACAGGTGCAGCAGCAAGGTGCCAGTGCTGAGCTCATTGACCACTACGCTCAAGGCCGGGGGCTCAGTGGGCAAGGGTTGTGTGCCCGGGCTTTGTACGACTATCAGGCAGGTAAGGTGCCCCACTTGGCTGCCCTGAGCTACAGGTCCTGGAGGATGGCCCCAGGGTTGTCAGAAGAGAATATCCCCAAGTAGGAAGCATGTTTTGAGGACAGAAGCCTCTTTGGAGGGTGATGACTGTAGTACTAGAGTTTCTATCCTTAAGAGCCTAGGCATTCTCACATGCTAGCTTACTGGAAACTGCTTGCCATCCCTAAGCAGTGGCTGTTTTTGTAGAACTTCCATGTCTGTTCCACGAGCTGAGCTAAGCCTGGACACTGGTACCAGGCATCCCTGCCCAGGTGGAGGCCTTGGAGCGGTGCCTTGGAGCATCTTCAGCCTCCCACAGTGCTCAGGAAGAAGGTGGCCCTGCAGTGGGCCCACTGCAGTGACAGTGATGCTGAACCACTTGCAGGCTGAATGGAAGAGGGATGCTCCCAAGGGGGATGCAGAGACCCGGGGGCAAGTGAAGGGTGGGGGAATATGGGCAGGACCTGATCAGCACCCACCCCATCTTGCCTTCCTTGTAGCTGATGACACAGAGATCTCCTTTGACCCTGAGAATCTCATTACGGGCATTGAGGTGATCGACGAAGGCTGGTGGCGAGGCTATGGGCCTGATGGCCACTTTGGCATGTTCCCTGCCAACTATGTGGAGCTCATTGAGTGATCCTGAGGTCCATCACCTTTACTTACCCAGATGTGGCTTTCCGATTGCTGGAGGAGGAGGCCCAAGAGTCAACGTCTCCAATGAGGATAAAGCCTCAGGGCTCCTTCTGGCCCAGATGGCTCATCCCAAATGCAGCAATAACCTGGTGGTTCCCAAACATGCTTCCTGCAGCCTGTCAGGCTCACCTGTGGTCAGCTCCTGGGTGAACTGCCCAAAGACAGCGGCCATACGAATAGAGGGCTGAGCAGAGCATCCGGAAGCTGTCTTCTTTCTGCATTTGCCTTTTCTAACTCATCTCTCCATTGTCTAAGGGGTGGTGGCTATAGCTATTTGGAATGGGACCTGGGAACTTAAAGAGAGTTGCTTTTAGGAGTGTCTATAATCAGAATTGCAGTGGACCGTACAGTGTTGACAGCAGGGGCTGACGTCCAGAGCCTTCCCTGCCCCACCCCAGTTCTCTGCTTCTGGGTGTGTGAAAAAGCTAAGGCCGTCTGTGCCCTCTGTGTGTTTCACCCTGTGTCTGCTGTTTCACCCTAGGGTACATCTCAACTGAGTTTTGTTTCAGGAGAAAGAACACAGTGATATATTCCTGCTACCTACCCATTTTCTGTCCCAGCCCACCTATGTCTGAAGAACAAATTGAAGTACATTTGAGTCCACAGGCTCAGCTGTGCTCTTCACTACTATGGTCTGAATACTCCCATGTGGAACACACACACATGCACCTACATCTGAATTGTGTCCGGGGAGTGTACATGTGTAGTCTACATCTGTGGCCCAGCCACATGTAAGAGAAACAGGATGTAGCTGAAGTTGGCGTCTTTCATTTCTGCTCCAGGAAAGACCAAGGAGTCCTAGCCATGTGGTCTAGCATAAGTGTGGACAGAGAGCTGGGTGCCAGTGGCTCACACCTGTAATCCTAGCTACACAGGAGGCTGAGATCTGAGGATCACAGTTCAAAGCCAGCCTGGGCAGGAAAGTATGTTCAACTCATCTCCAAGTAACCACCTAAAAACCGGAAGTGGCGCTGTGGCTCAAGTGGTAGAGTGCTCACCTTGAAGAGCTCAGGGACAGCACCCAGGCCCAGAGTTCAAGCCCCACAACTGACAAAAATTAAAAATAAGTGTGGACAAAGGTAGCCACACTGGCCTTCTGGGAAAATATCCCTCTTCAGCCTGGGAAATGCCAGGTGGATTCGATTCCCAACTTCAGGTCAAGGTGACAAGTTGCTGGCCCCAGGCCATGCCCCAACCCAGTCCCTCCTATATCCTGCCTATCCCTTAGGCTTCTCCCCTGTTCACTGTTAAGACTAGAGGCCTTATGGAGTCTGCCCTGTTGTGGGCCTGAGGCTTCATGTTACTTGTCCCCACCAATGACGTCGGGCTCAGAGTAACAACTATGGTAGAGAAGCATCCATTCTTTGAAGGCAGCAGGTGAGGAAGCACTACAGCCCTGTCCTGTCCATGGGTCTCACTTCTTGTGGCAGGGTTTGGTCACTTAGGTTGTTCCCAGAGTATTGTGGGCTGAGAATATAGCTACCAAATGGCTTTAAAGCTTTAGTTAGGGTTGCCTCAGAGGCTTGTTCACAGTATAGGGCTAAACAGCCCTGGCACCTGCCTCTACTTGTCAGCGGTTGACACTGGGCTGGTGTCAGCTGTTGACAGGGATTGGGGGCAGCTGCAGGCCTGCTTGGGGTTCCCAAAGCCAGTGGGATAAGCAAGACATGCTCAACTGAAGGCAGCGTGCAGAGGTGCTTTTATTGCTTATGTTCCCCTTATTTAGCCTTGCCCTGGGCAGCCACGGCCTCCATAGCCTTCCGCACAGTCTCTTCGTCGCCCAGGAACCGCATGGGTTTGGTGGGCTTCAGTGCCTGGTCCAGCTCATACACAATGGGGATTCCTGTAGGCAGGTTCAGCTCCATGATGGCTTGGTCTGACATCCCTGGACCAAAGGAACAACATCCTTGACCCTTCTGTCCCCAGCCCACCCATACAGCAGATCCCTTGGCCTTTGTGGACCACAGAACTGGGAACTAGGTCTTTTGACACTAACCTAGCCCTTGGAGGCTATAGAAATGTGTTTAAAAGGTCTGGGCAGAACCCAATTTGATGGGGCAGCAGTGGCAGGACAACTTTATTCTCCCTTGAGCAGCTGTGGTCTGTGGTGCCACAGTCTCAATACAACATGAACTGGCCAAACCACAGTCGACAGTGGGGAAGGGCACTAGCTGTTTGGTTTCTAGCAGTTCAGAGCAGAGTAGACAGGGTAGAAACCTGACCCTGCCTACTCCAGCAGCCCCCTCCGGGAATAGCTCAACCTTTGGTATTGCCATCACCCCACCCCCATCTAAGACTACTGGAGAATGTTCTCTGGGGAGCCAGACATCCTCCATTCCTTCTGGACTCTTGTCACTTGTGTGCCTCTTCCAGAGCAGGCTCAGAGGCATGAAGGCTCAGAAGGGAAGGACAGAGGGTCACTCTCATTGGATCCAGTGTCCCCAGGGACTGGAGATCTGAGGTATGCCCTCCTTTATTTTTGTGACCCCAGCCAGCCCCAAGGTCATCTAGAGATTAATGTTAAGGCCCTGGGTGAAAAGACCATTAGTTAAGGGCCCCTGCACAACCCACCTGTCAGCCCTTGCTCTTCAGTGGGGGCCCAGGGTCTTAATCAACTCCATTAACTCCATACCCATCTTTGGGTACTCTTAGTCTTTGCCTAGAGAAGTTGGGGGAAGGGGGGAGGATGGGACCCACTATGAGAGGAACCCTGAATTAAGAGGCAGGCAAGGTGGCACCTGATTCTAGCATTTAGTAGGCTGAGGCTGGGGACTGAGTTCAGGCCAGCCTAGGCTACACAGCAGAAACAAGGCTGGCACTAGGAGAAATGGCATGAGCTCCCCAGGGACTCATGGTTTTCCCAGGGTCCTGCAGCAAGCTAGGGCTTTGAGTCCTGCCTTTTCCTAACTGGGCCAGATGCCACCACCAAATCTGTTCTGTTGAGTCAGCTCCTGACCCCACTTTCCTGGGCAGCCAGACTTAATAGATTAAAATGTGCAGAAATAGGAAAGTATGACTAGAACTAGATGCTTCTCAACCCTCTCCATTCAATCCACTTACAAACTCCCTCCCCCACTTACAAATACCCCCACACACCTTGCACCTCTGTTTAACTAGCACACAGGAAGCCTTTGTTGTCACCCTACCCATCTGCCTCCTGAGCATGGACTTTACCTTCCAGGTGTTTGACGATGCCTCGCAGGCTATTCCCATGGGCTGCAATGAGCACTCGTTTGCCAGCCTTGATCTGGGGTGCAATTTCCTCATTCCAGAAGGGCAGGGCCCGGGCGATGGTGTCCTTCAGGCTCTCGCAGGTAGGCAGCTCTCCAGGCTTCAGGCCTGCATAGCGGCGCTCCTGAGGGAGAGGCAGAGACATTACTGTTCCCTGGGCAGGTGGGCCCCTACCCCAGGCTCCCAACCTGGAGCTCCTCCCAGCAGCTCACCTTGCTGATGGTGGTGTAGTAAGGGTGCTTCTCATCCATTGGCGGTGGTGGGATGTCAAAGGAGCGCCTCCAGATCTTCACCTGCTCCTCCCCATGTTTGGCTGCTGTCTCAGCCTTGTTGAGGCCTGTGAGGCCCCCATAGTGCCGTTCATTAAGGCGCCAGGTGCGCACCACAGGCAGCCACATTTGGTCCGTGCCATCCAGGATAGTCCAGAGGGTACGGATGGCCCGTTTCAGCACCGATGTGTAGCAGATGTCAAACTCCATCTTGGCATCCTTGATGGCCTGGGCTCCCCGCTTGGCCTCCTCAGCCCCCTTTTCACTCAGCTCTGCATCGAACCAACCACAAAATCGGTTCTCTTGGTTCCACGTGCTCTCACCGTGACGGACCATTACTAGGCGGTGTGCGGCCATGGTGTAAGGGGACACAGGGGCTCCGGATGGGGACAGCTGCCTCCCTAGCACTCCAGCTTTATAACAGTCTTCCCAGCCCCCATTCCACGTAACTGCCAGTCAGCATTCCAGGAGGGACAGGCAGTGGCAGGTGGCCAGTAGCAGAGCTGCTGGGGGTGGGGAGGTACACACGACTGAACTTAAAAATAGCTTCACACAGCCATCAGCCCTGCTTGGGCTTAGGTGACAGGGCCTGGCTTGGTAGAGCTGCTGAGGCAGGCCCAGGGTGAAGGGCAGAAGTCATGCCTAGGGGGTCAGGACTGCCAGGACCAAAAGGTCTCCAGGAGAAGACTTCCTGGAGGCTTATTAGTGCTCCTCTGTGACTTTACCAGATCTGCCTGGCTCAGGCAGAAGCATAAACAAGTCCCAGCCCCACCCAGAGCACTGGTGGCTCACACCTGTAATATTAGCTACTCAGGAGGCTAAAAGCTGAGGATTGCAGTGCAAAGCCAGCCCAGGCAGCAAAGTCCAAAACGCTTACCTCCAGTTAACCACTAGAAAACTGGAAGTGGCACTGTGGCTCAAAGTGGTAGAGTGCTAGCTTTGAACAAAAGAGCTCAGGGACAGAACTCAGGTCTTGAGTTCAAGCTCCATGACTAATCAAAAACAAAACAAAATTCCAGCCCCTATTTTGGTCACTTCTTTGAATGTCTCACTTGTGATCTTCCTGCCTCCACCTGCAGAGTGCTGAGATTAGAAGCAGGTACCACCATACCTGGCCTCTTGGTCACTCTTAACACAGTAAGGAAACTGTTACAGAGGGAAGCCAAGGAGTGAGTGTGTGTGTGTCCCACGTACATAGCTCTGTGAGACTGTGTTTAAGGGTGCCTAAGTGTCTGCATTAAGAGCCTGCAGCACATATGTTGTATGCATGTGTGTACTGTCTTCAGGGCATGTGTTGCATACAATTGTGTATGTGCTTAATGTTTGTTGCCAGGCAGATCTTCTGGGGACTTTGTTCTAGTTAGCCTGGCAGAGAATTACACATGGCTGGGGTGTGGGGGGTCACACTCATGCATCCAGATCTTTTCCTGGCCTTCTGCTCCTTCCCTCTGCACAAGGACCTTGCAGGGATGGAAGTAACTGGGAGCAAGGCCCCTCGATGGGCAAATGAAAGATCACTGTGGCAGAGCCAGAAAGCAGACTCAGAGCCATCCTTTTGGGAAAAAAATATCTGCCCTGGTAGGAAACACCACCAAAGCAACAGCAGGGGCAAAGGCACAAACCACGCTTGGCTTCCAGAACAACCCACAGGCAGTATGGGTTCCCTCCTTTGGGTTCTGTTAAACCTCACTTGGGAAAGACAGTAGAATTTATAGCTCTGATGGGCCTCCACCTCTAGGGCTAGGATGGAGTCCTGGGGATTGTCATGTGCATAGTAAACATAGCAGAACACCCAGAAATGGGCCAATCCACAGGATAGGCAACAAGAAGTTGAGCCCAGGACTTCCACATTTGGGATCGGAGAACATAACCCCCTGCTATGCCTCAGGTAACAGCAAAGGGTGATTGGTAGGTGTGGCCTGATTTCACAAGAAGCCCTCTATACACACACCTACCCCTTCTGCCCCTTGCAGACCAAGAATCCTCACATACAGATTTGAGAGAACTTTTTGCAGGCCAAAGAAGCCACTGAGGCTGACAGGTAGAACCCATCTTTCCCAGCAGCCCCATGCAGGCCTCCCATCTCCCTATCCATTTTGTCTGAAGCTGTGTTCCTGATGTCATGGGCTACCTTTTGTCTTGTGACCACACCAGTAATGGAAACATTGGCCCAGCTAAACATAATGTGATGTGACAGTTCTGACCCACAGATTCTGGAGCACCAGATGAAGAGATGCACAGGCAGGACACACACACAAAACCAGTATAGTATCAGCATAAGATGACACAGAGATCAACGGAAAATTCAGAGTCCAAGAAAAATAACCTACATAGTAAATGATGATGATGATGATGATGATGATGCAGTGCTGGAGTTTGAACTCAGAGCCTTGTGTATGCTAGGCAGGAGCTCCACCAGTGGTGGCTAAATTAATTTTGCAAAATGAATCTAATAGGAAAAGAGTATCTTTAATAAATTATGTGAGGACAACTAGGCAATGACCCCTTACCTCAAACCTATATAAAAATTACCTCAAGCCAAGCATTGGTGGCTCATGCCTGTACTATCATCTTTTTTTGGGGGGTCCAGTCGTGGGGCCTGAACTCTGGGCCTGGGCGCTGTCCCTCAGCTCTTCAGCTCAAGGCTAGCACTCTACCACCTGAGCCACAGCGCCACTTCCGGCTTTTTTCTTTTTGCTTCTGTGGTGCTGAGGAATCGAACCCAGGGCCTCAGGCATGCAAGGCAAGCGCTCTACCACTGAGCCACCTTCCCAGCCCTGGTGGCTCATGCCTGTATCCTAGGTACCTCAGGAGGATGAAATCTGAGAATCACAGTTCAAAACCAGCTCACTCAGGCAGGAAAGTCCATGAGACTTTTTTTTTTGCCAGTCCTGGGGCTTGAACTCAAGGCCTAGACACACAAGATGCCAGGGGTTCATTTTCTCATAAGGAGAGGGGAGAGAAGGCTAGATCTTCACATAAATCTTGAGATGACAATCCAAAGAGAGCCATAAGATTCTTGATCAATGTATGCTTTTGAAAAAGTATGAAATGAATGCTCATGCAAAATTGGTTTTATGTGGGCACAAAGAGTACAAAGTAGAATGTCTGTCTTCGGGGAAACAACAGAATACATGGGTGGTCATGTCAATAATCTCAACCAACACTAGGGAGACTGACACAGAGGACTGGACTGCAGGGCCAGCCTGGGCTACACAGAGATGGAAACTAGCCACTAGTCTGGTGTGGTCTTTTCATAGCAAGAACCTATTTTAAAAAAAAAAATAGCTGTAGGACATGCTAATAAAGGAAGGGGCAAGGGCCATCTACCCCTCTGGCTTACCACATGAGCTGGCCCAGAGCAGAGCATCTAGAGGCTAGTTTTCATGTTCTCTATTTTCAACTGAAAGACTGTTTACTGAAAACCTCTTTAACAAAAGTGTGTAAAAAACAAAAAGAGCTGGGTGCCAATGGCTCATGCCTATAATCCTAGCTACTCAAGAGGCTGAGATATGAGGATCGTGGTTCATTGCCAGTCTTAGCAGGAAAGCCCATGAGACTCTTATCTCCAATCAACCACCAGAAAACTGAAAGTGGCGCTCAAAAGTGGCTCAAGTAGTACAGTGCTAGCCTTGAGCTGAAGAGCTCAGGGATAGCACCGAGGCCCTGAGTTCAAGACTCATGACCGACAAAAAAAAATTAAAAAGACTTGGCTCACACCTGTAATTCTAGCTACTCAGGAGGCTGAGATCTGAGGATCACAGTTGAAAATAAGCCCAGGCAAGAAGGTCTGGGAGGCACTTGTTTCTAATTAACCACCAAAAAAAGGCAAAAGTGGATCTGTGGCTCATATGGTAAAATGCCAGCCTTGACCAAAAGAGCTCAAAGATAACCCCTTAGGTCCTGAGTTCAAGTCCCAGATGTGGCAAAAATAAAGAAGGAAGAAATTTAAAAAAAAAAAAAAAAAGACTGCTCTATCCTCAAAAGAACAAAAACCAATAAAGCTCCATAGCAGAAGGGGAGGATGTATGGAGAGGAAGGAAGATGTCTGGAGGAACTGAACCACAATGTGTTAAATCTGCAACTGCAGTGACAAAGCACCTGACACTAACAACTTAAAGGAGGAAAAATTCCTTTTGGCTCATGACTTCAGAGGTTCAGTCAGTGGTCACTTGGCTCCAGTGTTTCCAGGCCTGAGGTGAGACACAACATGGCAGAGGGGTCATGGTGGAACAGAGCTGCTGCTCATCTCATGGTGGCCAGATAGAAGCCAAAATGGACTGAAGACAGGTATCCCATTCAAGGACAAACACTCAGTGACCAGTCCTTCAACTGGGCCCACTTCCTAGTTTCTACCACCTCCAATATTGCCATCAGATATACCATGCTCACCTATGCATCAAACCATGATGAGAAGGGAGCCCTAACAATCCAGTCATTCCCAAGCCCCACCTCTGGATATTGCACTGGGGCCAACCCTTCAACACATGAATTCTCAGGGAACATTTCACATCCAAACCATACCTGCCAGACCTACTAAAATGGCTAAATAGTAAAAACACTAAGTGCTGTCAGAGCCAGAGCAACTGCTTTAAAGAACATTTAATGAAGACAGGTGGTTCACTCTGCTGGTAACCTGCAATGTGTCTCTTCTTTGTAAACTTCAAGGCATATTTCCCTCATGACCCCAAAATTGTATGCTTTGCTATTGACTCAGAGGAAATGAAAATGTGCTTATACCAAATCTTACCCTCATGGATATAGCAACTTATGAATAATCATCAAAACCTGGAAACTAAGTCTCCATCAGCAGACTCGATTCACCATGAAGCATTTATAACCTGCACTGATAGAGGAACAACTACTGCTGCCCCAGCAAACTGCATGACTTTCAAAGGCTTTGTGCTGAGGGGGCAGACAGTAATGCAGCTCAATCCCACATTTATGACAGAACCACTGGGTTGCAGGGTGGGAACATGTGACCATAACAGGACAGTGTAAGGTGATATCTATGGGACAGACTGTTGCATCCCAGTGATGGCAGAAGTGACAAGTTTTTGCATGAGATATGTTAAAAACCTATAAAACTACACACTCACAGCCCTCTTTATTGCATGTTTATTTTTTTAAAAAAATTTGTTGGTAGTGGGGCCTGGGGACTGTCTCTGAGCTCTTTTTGCTTAAGGCTAGTGCTCTACCACTTTGAGCCACAGCACCACTTCTGGTTTTCTGGTGGTTAATTGGAGATAAGAGTCACATCCTTTCCTGCCCAGGCTGGTTTCAAACCATGATCCTAAGATCTCAGCCTCCTGAGGAGCTAAGATTACAGGCATGAGCGACCAGCACCCGGTTTATTTTAAAATTGATAAGTGGTCAGAAGAGCCCTCACCTGACAAGGTGACCAAGTCCCAAAGGAGACCAGAGTGGGCTCCAGGTAGGCACAGCAAGGACCAGACTGTGCCTAAACATGTGGAACACACAAGATGGTCCTCTCCAGCACTTCTGCCTCAGAGATGAGGAGTTGACCATGTCCAATCTGGCACCCATCAGCAGGAAATAGTGAGACAGGAAATGGCTTGGATGGGGGGCCCAGGAGAGTGTGTACTGAAGTTGGCAGGGTGGCAGGAATGGTAGCGGCCTGGGGCTGTGCTTGGAACTGCATCATTTGGGTATGGAAACTGCTGCAAAGCTGGGTAGAGCTGCTGCCAGAGAGGCAAGGCATGACTTTGTCCTTAAAGGCAAAAGAAGAGTCTGGCTGGAGACTGCAATGCTGGACTGGCCTCCAGAGGGCCTGAAGATGCTGACGCACCCCCTCAACACCCCTATGAAGATGTCATAAGGCCAGAATGACCTCCTCCACCTCACAGTACAAGCGTGGGGTAGGGATGCCTGCTTCCCTTCCAGGCACTTCTAGTGGGATGCTCTGCAGGAGCCTCCAAGGCATCTCAACTGAACAAATGTGCACACCAGGACCGTAGGCTCTGCCATAGCTCCGGATGTGGGTACTGCTCAGAGCCCTTACCAGGCTAGGACCCTGAGGCATGGGGAGGCTAAAGCTGACCCCGAGCCACACAGCTATGAGGCTGGCTAGGCAGGGCCCACCTCACCAAAGCCCCTGCAGTGATAACCCCTCTGCTGGCAGAGATGAGGACGTGGGACGTAGCAAAGCATCTAGCAGCCCCTCATTTCTTACCAGTGGGGGTGGGGACACCACAGGATCAGGCGTTTCTCTGCTCAGGGGGAAGGTACTCAAGGCCCAGGTGTCGGAAGATATCTTCCTCAGAAGCAACATGGAAAATCGTCTTCTGCAACAAGACCCACAGTCTACTGGGACACCCAGTGCCCTCCCCCTGAACCCTCCTGTCTGCATATGTGCAGGGCACCAAGCCAGACAGTTTTACTATGGACAGGCTGGACGGGGAGGCAGAAAGCAGGGACCTTTGCTATGACAGGGTACCCTTGTGGTTTCAACATTTTGCAGGAGTTGAGACCCTGATCTGGGCTCTGTGGGTTCTAGGATGGAGGGATCTGGGCCATTTCTGGGGCCAGGAAGCAGGGTAATTCTTGTCAGCATACCTTCTCTGGGTCAAACAGCCCATGGCTGTTCAGACATAGTCCTTTCTCCTTGCGGCTGAAACGGCGCAGCTCCCGCTCAAAAAGCTAGGGGGAAATGACTGCTCTAGTCAAGGTAACCTACCTTGGCCTTGAACAATTCCAGTAATAGCCCAGACCTACCTGAGAGCCAGTCCAGCCAAGGAGAGCAAAAGGGAACTGACTGCTGGGGGCAACCACCAGATCTACCCTCACGGCTTTCCAGGCACTCCAGGACTCCAGGACTCCCTCAGCAGCCCCTGGAGGTTGAGGCAGGCGGAAAATGCAGAAACTTCTCTCAAAGGCATCCATGGTGTGTTTCTGCTGGGCCAGGTATGTGAGGTCCCCCAAGTGGCTGGGATGGTGCTGGTGATACAGGACAAGGCCCTGCAGGGAGAGGCAGTTGTGTGCCAGGTACCACCACAGTGCCAAGAGGACAGAAGGCGAGTCCGTGGCCACCCTGGTCTGGGGCACTGAGGGCCTCACCTGGCTCTGCAGGTGGTGCAGTAGTCTGGGCAGCAGCCCTACCTCCTGGCCCTGCTCAGGGTGGGTGATGAGGAAGTCCACATCATGGCCCAGCATCTTCCCTCTGAGGGGAAACAGTCTGATTCCCACTTCCGCCTTGGGCTATGTTTCCTTCAGGTAGTAAGAAGGCCACCAGTGTTCAAGGCTCAGGTTCCTACCCTGGGGTGGGATCTGGAGTCAAGGAAGAAGGGCATGTTGGGCTTCCTTACCTCCGGAAGCCACCGGTGAGTGTGACAGTGGCCCCAGGCAGGATCTGTCCCACGGCTGCCTCCACCAGCTCCTGCAGGGCCTCAGCATCAGACCGCCCAACTGGGGTGCTCAGATCCTGGTGGTGCTGCAGTCCTGTGGGCAGCACAACCCTCCTGACTCTCTCAGCCTGCCCTCCCCACTTGGCCCCATACCTCAGCTGAGCCCCAGATGCTACAGCAACACCAAAAAAGGGCTCCAGTAATTCTGATTGCAGGGGAAGATGTCAGGAAGTCTACCTGCCTACAGCCAAGATCCAACCCCCACCCCCCGTCCCCCCGCCATACTTCCTGCCACTCAGGGAAACCCGCAGATCCATTAGTACAAAGGGCTTTAGTTTGTGGAAACTTCTTGCCCAGGTGGCTCTGGTGAAGCTCAGGGCCAGTCTTCCCTTGAGCTCACCTGCTTTCTGCTGCTGGGTCAGTCTCTGGGGCTGTTCTCGGAGCTCATCTAGGGTTCGAAGCCCTTCAAGGTACCACCGGTTAGCAGTCTTCACCCCCACCCCAAAGATCTGGGTGAAGAGCTGTATGAAGGAAGGAAGCACTGGATCAGGAGCAAATTTCCCAGGGGACACACATTGTAGCTTTTGTGCCCAAGGCAGAGGGCAAAGACTCAGACCCAGAGTCCGGCCTATGCAACACTTTCTCAAAGGAGTGAATTCACACAATCTGTGAACAGCCCAAGGTGGGAAGGGGCTCTACTACCCACCTGCCAAAAGCCTACAGTAAGCTACTTTCTAATCACAACACAAAAGGTCTCACCTCCACGCTCATATAGGCCAAGCCTGTGCTTTTAACAGAACCAACATTTTCTTTTTTTTTTGTCGGTCGTGGGGCTTGAACTCTGTGCCTGGGCGCTGTCCTTCAGCTCTTCAGCTCAAGGCGAGTGCTCTACCACTTGAGCTACAGCGCCACTTCTGGGTTTTTTTGATGGTTTATTGGAGATAGGAGTCTCATGGTCTCTCCTGCCGGGGCTGGCTTTGAACCGCGATCCTCAGATCTCAGCCTCCTGAGTAGCTAGGATTACAGGCGTGAGCCACCTAGGATTACAGGCGTGAGCCACCAGCGCCCAGCCAGAACCAACATTTTCTTAATTCATCAACTCAGCAGGCTCTCAGGTCACTGGGAAAACTATGCCTTTCACACTGATAGCAGCTCGAACTTATTGCTGTAGTTCTCAAAAACAAGGTGTCCATCAGCAAGAAGGTTGTTTCTGCAGAAATGCTGAAAGGGCTGGATAAGCCTACTCAAGGCTTCAACATGGCAAGTATGGGGTGGCAAGTCTCCCACATGTAGTAGGTGGGAGGGGGAGGACCCAGGTGCCAACTGGTCCAGGGGAACCCAGGACCAAGCATGTCACCTGCCCTGGCCTATGGGCCTAAGACTCTTCACAGAAACTTTGGAATGAGACTGAAGCCAGCTCATAGTCGTGGAGGCTGCACACATGGTCTAAACCCCCTGTGATTGGTTCTCCTATCAGTGGAGGGCACTGATGTGCGTCACAAGAGGATGGAGCTGGTGTACAGAGAGGCAGAGGGGATAAACAGCCACAGCCCTTCAATTTCTAGACATCTTTCCCTTGATTCTCTGGACCCAGAGCACAAGGCAGGCCACTGACACAGTAACCAACAGATACTGAGTTTAAAAATGCACTGGTGAGCCAAGTGCCAGTATCTTACGTCTGGAAGCCTCGCTACTCAGGAGGTTGAGATCTGAGGATCGTGGTTCAGAGCCAGCCCAGGCAGGAAAGGCCGTGAAACTCTATCTCCAATAAACCACAAGAAACCAGAAGTGGCACTGTGACTCAAGTGGTAGAGCTAGCTAGCCTTGAGCTGAAGAGCTGAAGGACAGCACCAGGCCCAGAGTTCAAATCCCATGACTAGAAAAAAAAAAAATTTCACTGGTGAGGGGTGGGAATGTGGCTTAGTGGTAGAGTGCTTGCCTAGCATGCATGAAACCCTCCCTGGGTTTTGATTCCTCAGTACCACATTAACAGAAAAGGCCGGAAGTGGCACTATGACTCAAGTGGTAGAGTTCTAGACTTGAGCACCAAGAGGCTCAGAGACAGAGGCCAGGCCCTGAATTCAAGCCCCAGAACAGGCAAAAAAAAAAAAAAAAGCACTGGTGGCTCACACCTATAATCCTAGCTTACTCAGGAAACTGAGATGCAGAGGGCTGAAATTCAAGGCCAGCCTGGGCAGAAAAGTTCACTAGACTCCATCTCCAAAATAACCAACAAAAAACAAGACTGGAAGTATGACTTAAGTGGTACAGTGCCAATCTAGCAAGCATGAGACTCTGAGTTCATGGCCCAGTACTACAATAGCAACAATTGATAACAATAATAAACCAGGAAAAAACAGGACTGGAGATGTGGCTCAAGAGGTAGAGCGTCAGACTAGCAAGCACTAGGTCCTGAATTTAATCCTCAATAAGATGAATGCCAAGATTGTGGTGTATACCTATAATTCTAACACTCAGAAGGCTGAGGCAGGAGAATCATGTTTGAGGCTAGCTTGAGCTACCAAGTAAACTGTCTTAAAAAAAAATGATTAAGATGGGGAGGGAAGGGATGGTAGTGGAAAAACAAAGGAGAAGGTAACAATGCTCAATAGGAAATGTACTCATTACCTTACTCATTAATTGTAACCCCTCTGTACAGTAATTTTACAATAAAAAATGATTAAGAAAATAATCAGCTTCACAATTACATTGTTTATGAAACAATTTCCTTGATTACTAATATAACTTTCTGTTTCCTTGATTACTAATATAACTTTCTGCTAGCCTGGGTACATCTGGTGACTTTGGAATTCCCAGGAGGGCAGGATGGAGGACAGGGATACCAAGGTTCTAGCATCAGTCAGTTCTTCTCCATCCCCTGCCCAGCAGATCCTCACTGGGGCTGGAGCTGGAACTGAGGGGGAAACCACTCACCTACCTATGTCAACATCGAGATCACTTCATCTCAACACCCATGTTGCTTCACTCAGCAGACAGCCTGCCCCAGGCCCCATGCCCAAAAATACTTCATACATGGCTTGCGGTTAACTCTTCCAAGACTTACCCGTCAATACTGACAAGGTTCTGGGCAATCTCCCACAGTATCATGGCCTTGCCTGGGATAATCCCCACCAAAAATTCAAGGTACCTGAGTTACTATTCACTGGCAGAAAATTCCTTCTATTGTCTAGCCTCAGTCCCTCCTGCTGCAGGAAACTTATTCTCTCCCCTGAGCCCCTTTCCATTGGAAAGGAGGGTATCTATGGGAACAAAAATGTGAAATCAGAAACATCCTTGCTAAAAAGCAAACATCTTTCCCTCTCTCAAGTTTTGCAGTTTACTACAAACTTTGCTGAAGGCCACTGGCAACCTTGAGGCTTATCACGAGCTATACTGAGTTGCTATATTTATTAGTCAGGAGCTTATAATAAAAATCACTTCTGTAAAGAAAATTTCAGGGTACCCCCCCAAACATGTGAATGAGTTTCTAATGTTTTGAGAACCATGGGAATAAATTCTTATGTTTTGAGATTTAAAATATACTATCCCTTCCCAAGGTTATGTTTTGACTTCTGTAAGCCAAGGATACGTTTTGACTTTTTGTAATAATGTCAATAGCATTCATAGTATTGACCATGCTGACTAAGTCAAAATTATGTTTTGCCTATGCTCTTGTGACTCAGGCTATGTTTTCCTTCTGTAAGCTTGCTTGCTTGCTTGGGTAAACATGACCTGTGTGAAACCCCTTCCTATAAAAATCCCCCATGAAAAGCAAGTGGGGCTGCTCTCTAGCTCTGTGAGCTAGGGACAGATGCCACATGGCTAATAAAAAGGCTTCCAGCCAGTGTGACTGAATGCTGTTGACTCCTTTCACCCATTGTGGATTCAAGCCCCAGTGGTCCTGGGAAGCTTTTTTCATTACCTTGCCCTCCCAAGAAGCCACACAACACCAACTATACCAACTACCTCAACACATATCTGATGACCTAACACCTCCAGCTACAAACCAGGTGTCAGAAAGGTGTCAGAGTAGACAAAACCATGGCATCCAGAGGGCTGGGCTGGTATGAAGACTAGCCTTCCTACCAGATTAGCAAGTACACAGAGAAAAAGATACCATGAAGACAAGGCAGGCCCATAGCATCAGGATAGCAGCCTGCAAACACACACACACACACACACACACACACATAGCACCAGGATAGCCTACACACACACACACACACACACACACACACTCACACACAGAGATGTCACACTGCACCCCCCAAAAAAACCACATTTTGCTGTGTGCTGTTTAACATACATGACAATAGCCCCTCAAGAAAAGGTGGCTCAAAAATAGGAGCTGGAGCCTGGTGCTGGTGGCTCACACCTGTAATCCTAACTACACAGGAGGCTGAGATCTGAGATCACAGTTCAAAACCAGCACAGGCAAGAAACTCTGTGAGACTCTTATCTCCAATTAACTACCAGAAAACTGCAAGTGGGGCTGTAGGTCAAGAGGTAGAACGCTCGCTTTGAGCTGAAGAGATGAGGGACAGCGCCCAGGCCCAGAGTTCAAGCCCTACATCCAACAACAACAAAAAAAATAGGAGCTAGGTGCTGGTGGCTCACGCTTGTAATCCTAGCTACTCAAGAAGCTGAGATTTGAGGATCACAGAAGCCAGCACAGGCAAGAAAGTCCTTTAGACTATTATCTCTAACTTTTTTTTTTTGGTCAGTCACGGGGCTTGAACTCTGGGCCTGGGTGCTGTTCCTCATCTCTTCAGCTCAAGGCTACCACTTGAGCCACAGCACCACTTCCCGTTTTCTGGTGGTTTATTGGAGCTAAGAGTCTTACAGGGGCTGGGAAGGTGGCTCAGTGGTAGAGCACTTGCCTTGCATGCATGAGGCCTTGGGTTCCATTCCTCAGCACCACATAAGCAAAAAGAAAGCTAGAAGTGGCGCTGTGGCTCAAGTGGTAGAGCGCTAGCCTTAAGCTGAAGAGCTGAGGGACAGCGCCCAGGCCCAGAGTTCAGGCCCCATGAACGGGCCCCCCCTCCCCCGGCCCCCCCCCCCCACCAAAAAAAAAAACAGAGTCTCACAGACTTTCCTGCCCTGGCCGGCTTTGAACCATGATCCTCAGATCTCAGCCTCCTGAGTAGTTAGGATTATAGGCATGAGCCACCGGCACCCAGCTTACCTAACGTTGGAAGTGGAGCTGTGGTTCCAGTAGTATAGCACTAGCCTTGAGCAAAACAGGGACAACATCCAAGTCCTGAGTTCAAGCTCCAGGTCTCTCTCCTTCTCTCTTGCTCTCTCTCTCTCTCTCTCTCTCAGACAGACAGACAGACACACTAATAGTCTAGTGAAAACAGATGGTGCTGAATGATCCAGAAAATTCCCTGTGCTCAAAACAGGCTGCCTGTCTCCAAATGACAGCCTGTACCTATCAGGTATTGGATTAGCTGCCATTTCCTCAGAGACCTCTCTAACCCCAGGGTTAACTGCTCCTGCTGGCTTCCCAAAACATTTCCTGAACTGGGAGGTACATACCCACCAGGGTCCTAGACCTGCCTTCGTACCTTCATGGTCTGGTACCTCTCTGAGCAGCGAATTTTCTCCACCTCCTCACATGCCCCATGTTCCAGCAGCTCCTAAGGAAGAGCACAAAGCAAAATCCTAAGCCTAGAAGAATTAAAGAGAACAGTCAGGTCAGGGCTGGGACCTGAGGAGGGAGAATGCCCTCTACACCCTGAAGAAAGAGCTCTGTGCTTGCTGCCAGAATCCAGTGGGATCTGGTGAAGAAGCCAATACTTAGGGAGGTGACCAGGAGCTGGTGCCATAGCAGGGGTGAAATCCCCTCAGGACTACAGTTGCAGTAACTGAGGACTTGATAGTATAAGTCAACTTTCAGACAACTAACATATGCTAGGATATATAGTGTTTGCTTTGCAGAATGTATAAGACTTCATCTAAAGGGGTAGCTGAACATGTCAGAGCCTCAAAAGACATATACTCCAGGTGCTTTTTCCTGCCACTGTGGACAGTGTGGGATAGTGCGTGTGGTAGGACACCAATGCTAATAAGACACTATACCAAGGCTCTCAGCCACCAACTCACACACAAGGAATCTGTGTGATGGCTTGTGTGTCCAAACTGTCAAACCACACACCTCCTGCCGCCCCTCATGAACCAGGCCTCCCAATACCCCACCCACTCACCCAATTCACCATGGCAGGAACCTACCCGGACCACCCTTAAAGAATGTTCTCCAAAGTAGGGTAGCCCCTGCAGCTGCCTCAGGGATGTGACAGGGGAGGGGAGGGCCCTGAGCACTGCAGATGCTCTTTGGAAGGAGAGGCAGCGACCCTCACTGCCTTCAAAGACTGCTGCCTCTGCCAGTATATCCAGGGCCTCCTGCAGGAAGAGATTTGGTTAAGACACAGGCTGAGCAGGGTGCCTTGCTCTAACCTATCAACAGCCACCCAGCCATACCCATGGTCCCGGCTGCTATGACCTCCTAAAAGATGCAGCTCACCGAGAGGGTAGTGTTGTGATGTGTGAGAGGCGTGGGGCGCTGACAGGCATAGGATGGAATCCACTCTGGGCTCAGGGGCCCCTTCCTGGGCTCAGCCACCTGAGGAACGGTAATGTAGAGATCATCACAGGCTTCAAGACAGGACAGCTAGGTGACACATAAATGCTTGTCTCTCCTGAGCATCCACCCGGCCCCTCTGAACTTACAGGACACAGATAGGAAACTCAGAGGGCAACAAAACCATGAGAGGCATAAACATGGGAGGCACTGCTCTGAATAGGTTGAGATGGCACTCTTAAAGCCCAAGCAGAAGCAACCCATGGAACACACTGCCTGCCATTGTATATTCGACTTAGTATTTACAGCTCTTCCAACCTTCACAACCCCAGAGGATTGGAAGCATGCTTCTGTGACAGGGCTAACAGATAAAACCAGGACTAAGGACAAGGCAGCTTGGCTTCTGACCATCCTAAGAAGGAGCTCTTGCTAACCAACAGGTCATCCCAAGTACTCCAGAAGAAAAGTCTGAAGATGATAAAAAAAAAAAAAAAAAAGTACACCCGCGCCAGAAGTGTGGCTCAAGCCTATAATCTGAGCTACTTGGGAGGCAGAGATCAGGGTAGCACAGTTCAAGACCAGCCAGGCATAAAATTTTGTGGGACTGACGAGCACTAGTGACTCATGCCTATAATTCCAGCTACTCAGGAGGCTGAGATCTGAGGACTGTGGTTTGAAGCCAGCCCAGGCAGGAAATTCTGTGAGACTCTTTATCTCACAGTGAGTGGTTAACTAAAAGTGGACAGCTTTGACTCAAAGTGGTAGATCTCTAACCTTGAGGGAGAAAACAAAACCTCAGGCCCTGAGTTCAAGCCTCATGATGACTGGGCACAGTGGCACAGGAAGCACAAATAGAACAACTGCAGCTCAGACTGGCCTGAGCATAAAGCAAGACCCAACCTAGAAAATAATAAAGGCAAAAAGGGGCTGGAGGGGCTGGGAAGGTGGCTCAGTGGTAGAGTGCTTGCCTTGCATGCATGAGGCCCTGGGTTCCATTCCTCATCACCACATAAGCAAAAAGAAAAAAGCTGGAAGTGGCGCTGTGGCTCAAGTGATAGAGCGCTAGCGTTGAGCTGAAGAGCTGAGGGACAGCGCCCAGGCCGAGTTCAGGCCCCATGAATGGACCTCCCCCCCGAAAAAAGGGGGCTGGAGGGGTGGCTCAAATGGTAGAGTACCTGCCTAGCAAACATGATGTCCTGAGTTCAGGCCATCAGTGTATGTACACACACACACACACACACAACTAGTGGACCCTACGTAGTGAGGACAGGTGTTGGGATGGCCTAGTCTCCAAGCACTTGCTGTAGCCCCTCTACTTGCTCTTTAGGGACCCAGAGGTTAGTGGAGCTCTCTCATTATCCTCCTCTCCCTTCCCCTTCCCCTCCCCTCCAGAGGACAATGAAACAATGCTTCCCATCACACCTCCACTGAGTTGGGCAGCACAGGCTCACCTCTAGGCGATGCCGGAACTCCACAGGGACAGGCTGCCCAGCTTCCATGCTCTCTGTGAACCAGGTGATGTCCAGCAGAGCAGGGTGGGGGCCATCTGGACAAGTAGTAGCTACATGCTCCTGCCAGCAGATGGCCTCCTCTGCCGAGGTCTGCTCCATCACCACGTGGGTCACCTCAGAGCTGGGGGGAGGGAAAGAAGGGTGAAACCCAGGCCCCATCCTGTTCTGCTCCATACATCCAAGCCTTTGTTCCTGCTATGCCCCTCTGCATGGTGATATTTTCCACATGTCACCTCTTCCAGAGAGTCTTCCAGGCATCTCCCCCTGATGCAAGGAACAACTCTCACAATTGTAGTTCTGGGTTCCAGATATTCACAAGTCACCTGTTAACTTGTTTCCCTTTCCACTCCACAGAACAGAATTCTTTGCAGGTGGGGGAAAAGGTGGTGCTCATCTTGGTGCTGGGGTTTAAGCACAGATACCCAAGCCTTCCTGCATTATACTGAACCCATTCCTGCACATGCTTGGGCAAACTCAGGCTATATTTCCTCCTACATAAAGTTAGGTAACCCAGCTATCTTTGTAGAGCTGTTATAAAAATGCAGTGCTGCCAAGGTGCTGGTGGCTCACAACTGTAATCCTAGCTACTCAGAAAGCTGAGATCTGAGGATCGTGGTTCAAAGCCAGCCTGGATAATAAGATCTGAGAGACTCATTCCCTATTAACTATCGGAAAACCGGAAGTGGTGCTGTGGCCCAAGTGGTAAAGCACTAGTCTTGAGCTGAATAGCTGAGGGACAGCGCCCAGGCCCAGAGTTCAAGCCCCATCATCAATACACACATACACATACATACACACACACACACAAACACACACATACACACACACACGCACGCATGCACGCACGCACACAAAGTTAGGCCAGGTATTCAGAAGACTGAGATCTGAGGATCGTGATTTGAAGCCTGCTCAGGCAGGAAAGTCCGTGAGATTCTTAAGAGTATATCCAATTAATCACCCCCAAAAGCCAGAAGTACAGCTATAGCTCAAGTGCAGAGTCTTAGTAACCCTAAGTGGAGAAGCTCAGGAGCAGCGCGGGGCTGAGTTCAAGCCCCAGGACCAACACCAAAAAAAAAAAAGGTAAATGAGCTAACGTAAGTCCTCTTGCTATCCCGATCTCAGCTTCTGTCTCCCTGGGTATTGTCTGTCTGGGGTTCTGTCCCTCCAGGAAAGATGATAACTTGTGCCCATTGTTGCGGGACTCCGGAGGATCAGGTGGCAACAAGCTACTCCTCCCTGGCTGCCCCGACCCTGCCTCTTTGAAATGCCCCTGGCGCCATTCTCAGCAAAGCCAAAGCCGTTCCGGCGTTTCCTAACACCCCACGTTGCGGAAGTGCGGCTCCGGGCTGGAGGAGTCACGTGAGGGCGAAGGCGCCAGGGGCAACTGTGAACCCCAAACCTCTGGGCGCTGCCGCTGTCCCGCCTGGGTCTCCGCGCCTCCGAGGTCAAGGGGTCCCACACGGGGTCAGCCCAGCCCCCCGCGAAGCAGGCGTCCCGCCAACGCGGGCAGCCTCCGGCCCCGCGCGGGCCACACACCTGAAGGCGTCGAGGACGCGGAAGCCTTTGGACCGGGCCAGGCGCGTGAGGAAGGCCCGGCGGCTGCGGCCCATCCTGCGCTCGGCCAGGTAGACGGCGACGCCGGGGAAGCGGCCCGAGGGCGGCGCGGGGGCGGGGGCCGCAAGGGCTCGCGCGCGCCGGCGGGGCGGGAGCATCGGGGCGCAGCCTGGCGGGGCCGGGAGACGGAAGGCGGGAAGAAAATGCCGGGAAGGAGGAAGGAGAGCGGGGAAGTCAAGCGGCCTACGCCAGCAAGAAGAGGAAGTGGAGCCGGCTGGCCGTCCGCACCGCCCTAGGCAAATGAGCTCCTCCGTGGGATTCGCGCTCTAACGCCCGGCCCGCCGTCAAGCAAAGGAACCGAACCCACGCTCGGGACAAACTTGGCCCGGCTTCGCTGACCGGGGGTGTGTGTATGTGTGTGTGTGGCTTCCTGCATCCGGGATCTCGGCCTCCCCTGTGAGGGGCGGACCGGAGAGGGGGCGGGGCCTTATTTGCATCTGGGAAGAGCTCGGCCTTAGTTGGGCGGGGCGGGGCGGGGCGGGCGAGGGGAGACGAGGCGGGTCTTGGCCGCTTTGATCTGGCCCGACGGTCCCCAACAGCAGCCTGCTTCGTCCCACCCAGTGGCTCCTGGTCCTGAGTCCTTGGACCTGCTTCGGGACCTGCGGGTCCAGGAGCTCCGCGTGGCCCCGTGTTGCTGCTACTGCTGCTGCTGCTTCAAACACACGAAAGTATTTTTTTTAGTTGCATGGCATTGGGACAAACTGGCCAACCATTGGAAAAATAGAAATTGGCTCCAACCGCTACTGCTTAACACTAAATAAATTCCAGATGAATCACAGATTTTAGAAAGAACCCGAAACACACGGTGTAGAAAGTTGATGAGAATTTTTTAATGTCCTAAATACCACAATAAGTTTGGAAATACTAAATGGAAAGAATGATTAACTGGACCACGTACAAATGTAAAAATGTGACCAAGAGTGGTGGTACACACCTGTAATGTCTGCACTGGGAGGAGGCAGAGGGATCTCCATTTAGAGTCTAGTTTAGGTTTTCAATATAGCCCATAATATACTGTACAATATACCCTATCTAAGAAAAGTGTTGGGGCTGGGAAAGAGTGCTTGCCTAACGTGCATGAAGCCCTGGCTTCAATTCCTCACTACCAACCACATAAACAGAAAAAGCTGGAAGTGATGCTGTGGCTCCAGTGGTACAGTGCTAGCCTTAAGCAAAAAGAAGCTCAGGGACAATGCCCAGGCCCTGAGTTCAAGCCCCAGGACTAGCAAAAAAAAAAAAGTGTTAAAAAATTTGGCTGGGCCGGGCGCTGGTGGCTCACGCCTGTAATCCTAGCTACTCAGGAGGCTGAGAACTGAGGATCGGATCGCGGTTCAAGCCAGCCTGGGCAGGAGAGACTGTGAGACTCCTATCTCCAATAAACCACCAGAAAACCGGAAGTGGTGCTGTAGCTCAAGTGGTAGAGCGCTGGCCTTGGGCTGAAGAGCGAAGGGACAGCGCCCAGGCCCAGAGTTCAAGCCCCACGACCGACCAAAAAAAAAAATTTGGCTGGGCCACAAAAAATAAAATACCTAAGAGTTTACTAAAGAAGTGAAGGACCTCTACGATGAAAACTTTAACCTGAAAAAGGATATCAAAGCAGAACTTAGGAAGTGGACAAACCTCCCATGCTCCTGGATTGGAAGGATCAGCATTGTGAAAATGGCAATACTTCCCAAGGCTATCTACAAATTCAGTGAGGTACCTCAATAGTCCAACCTCATTCTTCAAGGAAATAGAAGGAGTAATCCAAAAATTCATATGGAACAATAAAAGACACGAATAGCAAAACAATCCTTAACAAAAAGAACAGTGCTGGAGGAATATCAATACCAAATTTCAAACTCTACTGCAAAGCCATAGTGATCAAAACAGCTTGGTACTGGCACAAGAACAGACCTGAGGACCAATGGAATAGAACTGAAAACCCAGAAATGAACCCACAGACCTATACCCACCTAATCTTCGATAAGGGAGCTAAAAAAAATAGAATGGAAGAAAGACAGCCTCTTCAGTAAATGATGCTGGAAAAACTGGTTAATCTCCTATAGAAAACTAAAGCTAGATCCTTATATATCACCCTGCAACAGAATAAACTCCAAATGGATCAAAGACCTCAGGTGCAGACACCCTGAAAACATTACAGGAAGGAATAGGAGAAACTGTAGGTCTCCTTGGAACAGGCTGAAATTTTCTTAATAGAGACCTAGAAACACAACAAATCAAAGAAAGGTTGGATAAATAGGATTGCATTAAACTGCAGAGCTTCTGCTGGCAAAGGACATAGTTAACAAGATCAATAGAAAGCCCACGGATTGATTGGTAGAGCTTCACTAGCCATACAAAGGACAAGGGTCTCATATCGAAAATATACCTGGAACTCAAAAAATTAAATTCCCAAATAACAAATCCTCAAAGAAACAACTGCCTGATAAATAAGTGGGCTAAAGAATTAAAGAGAGGGCTGGGAAGGTGGCTCAGTGGTAGAGCGCTTGCCTTGCATGCATGAGGCCCTGGGTTCGATTCCTCAGCACCACGTAAGCCGGAGAAAAAAAAAGCCGAAAGTTGCACTGTTGCTCAAATGGTAGAGTGCTTGTCTTGAGCTGAAGAGCTGAGGGACAGCGCCCAGGCCCAGAGTTCAGGCCCCACGACCGGACCCAAAAAAAAAGAAAGAGAAACTTCTCTGAAGAGGAAATAAGAATGGCCAATAGACACATGAAGAAATGCTCAACTTCTCTAGCCATAAAAGAAATGCATATCAAAACGACAGAGATTCCACCTCACCCCAGTTAGAATGGCGATAATCAAGAACTTTAATAACAGATGCTGAATTGGATATGACCAAAAGGAAACCCTACTGCATTGTTGGTGGGAGTGTAAACTTGTTCAAGCAGTATGGAGGTTCCTCCAAAGACTCCACATAGAGCTCCTCTATGACCCAGCAATCCCACTTTTGGGCATTTACCCAAATGATCACAAACAAGGCCATACTAAGGCTACCAGCACAACTATGTTTATCGCAGCATTATTTACCATAGCTAAAGTATGGAACTAACCCAGATGCCCCTCAGTAGATGAATGGATCAAGAAAATATAATATATATATACACATATATATGTGTGTGTGTGTGTGTGTGTATATATATATATATAGGAATTCTATGCCTCTATCAGAAAGAATGACATTGCCCAATTTGTTAGGAAATGGAAAGACTTGGGAAAAATTATATTAAGTGAAGTAAGCCAGGCCCAAAGAAACATAGGTCCCATGGTTTCCCTTATTTGCAATAACTAGTACATGTGTAGGACAAGCAGAAAAGGCCAAAAGCTATGTACATATGACCATATAAGATGATGTTAAGCAAAATGAACCCCAAGATAGGGACACAAATATCTTTTTTCTTTTTTGATATTGTCCCTAACATATTTATAATGTACCATGTGATTTTTTTGTTCATGTTCCTCCCCCACGGTATAACCCCTGTTCTCAGTACAACCCCTTGATGTTAGTGCTCTGCATCTTGTATATACACTTCTTTAATTCGGGGAGGGAAAGGGAAAAAACAAAATGCTTAAGTAAGGATACAGGTTGACCCATTGTAACAATGAGATGTACAAAACACTGTTGAAAACAAACTTTACAACTTTGGCAGGGGTGGGGTAGTTGTGAAGGTGGGAGGGAAGGTATGGTAGGGGGAAAACAAAGGAAAAGGCAACAATGCTCAATAGGAAATGTACTCATTGCCTTCCTCATATAACTGTAACCCCTCTGTACAGCATTTTTACAATTAAAACAACATACAAAAAAAATTGGCTGGGAAGGTGGCTCAGTGGTAGAGTGCTTACCTTGCATGCATGAGGCCCTGGGTTAGATTCCTCAGCACCACATAGGCAGAAAAAGCCAGAAGCAGAGCTGTGGCTCCAGTGGTAGAGCAGTAGCCTTGAGCTGAAGAGCTGAGGACAGTGCCTGGGAACAGAGTTCAGGCCCCACAACCGACAAAAAAAAAAAAAAATTAAGGTCAAAGTTGAGAGAATGTGTTGGTGCTAGAGGATGGTGAATTCAAGGATAAGTTGGCCTACATAGTTAAGAACCTGCTTCAAAACAAAACCAATAGTCAAAAGACAAGCTTGGAACAAGTGTGATATATATTTGAAGTGGAGTAATTCTGTAATTACAAAATGAAAAAAAAAATAAGCAAGTGCTGGTGTGGCTCATGCCTATAAACCTAACTACTCAGGAGACTGAGATCTGAAGGTCTCGGTTCGAATCCAGCCCAGAGAAGGAAAGTCTGTGAGACTCTTATCTCTAATTAATCACCTGAAAACTGGAAATGGAGCTGTAGCTCAAAGCGGTAGAGCACTAGCCTTGAGGAATAAAAAAGAAAGAAAGAAAAGAAAAAGAAAGAAGAAAAAGCTCATAGGAAGCACCCAGACCCTGAGTTCAAGCTCCATGACTGACCAAAAAAAAAAAAAAGATAACTACTAAAAATGAATAAAACCAGGAAAGAGAGAAAAATTCCACAGGGGCTGGGAAGGTGGCTCAGTGGTAGAGTGCTTGCCTTGCATACATGAGGCCCTGAGTTCGATTCCTCAGTACCACATAAGCAGAAAAAGCCAGAAGTAGTAACCGTTTTCGGTCAAGCTATGGACCAAGGACATTTTTCTGTAAAGGTCAACCAATCATATTTGCCCAGCTTAGATTGCTTTAAATGTTAACTAATCGTGTAATTTCTTATGTAAAAGTTCCTTAAAGTTGTTTGTTCAATACTATAAAAACTGTGCTGATTCTATGCTCAGGGCCTCTTAGCGTCACCAGTTACCGTGTGCACGGAAGACCAAGCTCGAGCTTGCAATAAACTGGCTCTTTGTTGCTTACATTGATCGTGGTCTCTGGTGGTCTTCTAGGGGTCCCCGAATTTCGGTATAACAGCTGCATTTGGAATCTTTACAGAAATGTCTCTCTGCTCAAACCCTTCGATTAGGAAGGTGGGGGTTGCAGGTGGGCTCAGCTTTCCCATGTTTCTCTTTGCTGTTTTTTTTTCCTTCCTCAGTTCTGATCTGCACACTCCCACAATCCAGCTCTGCACCAAGGCCTTGCACT